TGTCAGATGGTTGATTTTTAAAGCCTCAGGAGGAAATCCTTCCTAAGATGAATATTGATATATAAAGGTAGCCCATTTGTCCCCTAAAAATTACTGGGTACAGTGTATAGATGTGCCACGCCCTTCCCCTACAGTATCTCTGCACATTTGTGTAAATGTATCATCAACTGACTTACAGACCACATGAACCAAGGAGTTACTGCCCCTGCTACATCTTTCACAGGCTGGTAAATGGTTATTATCCAGTCACCTCTGCAGTTAAGATCTCCTGTCAAGAAAACTGCTAACTGAATGTGCTAGTGCAGCATACCACAAATAATCAAACAATGGCAAATGAGAATTTGTGAGATACTGATTTTGAGGGGTAAAAAAGCAGCATGCACTTTCATTTCCCCCCTCTCAGACATATACACTAGATTCCCAACAAGCTGTCAAGTCACAACTTTCAGCACTTCTCCTGCAACACTTCTAAGCAGGTTCAGTGACTGAGCCTTGAATACCAAAGATCCAAGTTGCATTCTCCCCAAGTAAAACATCTCACAAAACATCTCGGGTAGAAAATAATCTACCTGAGGCCAAATATCTATCATCATATGGTTAGCTAATTATGTGTCCTCATACAAAAGTTCCTTGAATGCTACATATTTGCATACTACGCAGGGCAGAATGAAAACTAGACCAACAACTCCCCTCTAAATTCAATAGGCATACTAAGAAAACATAATATACAACCACTTTTGGTTGTTTCCAACTACATTGTAAAAATGGTCAACTGTACTTACCAGATGATGTGAACCACAATGCTCACAATCCCACATTTATTGTGAGTGAAATGTAGAAAGGTACCTATTGCTTCCTATCTCACGAACATATTAGCCAAATTCTGCAAAAATGGTCCAACACTTAAAATTAAAGGTAATTAGACAGAGAATGATCCAGGTAATTAAGGCCACACTCATTTCAGCAACTTCCAAAGCCCCTCCATGTGCAAATCAAAATCCCATTCAGAGAGAAAGAACACCTTACGCTCCAACACATATTCCCAAGCAACAAGGACTAACACCAGAGCACAAGCACTGGTTCCTCACCATGGCACTCATGAACACCTCTTTTTTTCTAAGAACGTCTCTAGGCCTCAAGCAGGTTATCTAAGCTTTCTTGGGAAACAGACATTAGCAAACCTGCCCCCAGAAGGTAGCAGACTGATAGGAAGCATCCTCGGGGGAGGGGTGGCTAGAAAAGATGAGACAGCCTTATAATAATCTCGTGCTCTCATAACCTCATGGTTATGCTCCCTATTATTTCGGAGGATGGGCCAGTCCTCCCCCACCAGGCGTTTTGCAACGATGCCCACCACTTCCGACGGTGGAAGACCTCTGATATGAGCGTCCAGGGGTGCAAAATGCACCCAATGTTCTCCTAAGCAAAAAGGATATACCCGCCCATTGAGGGGGGAGGGTCGGGAAACATCGCAGAACAGAAGGGAGAAGAGACAGAAAAGACGAACAATGGCACTTGCATCTTCTTTGTTTTATTCTTCTCCAACCAGACACGCACGTGCCTCCCTATTTACTCAGGGCCACCCGACGAAGCGGCCCCCCGCCCACCAACCCTTCGTCTCGGGGCCCCGCCGGGACTCTGCGGCTTTTCGGCCACCGCGCGCGGGACGGGGGCGCCCGCAGGCCCCGCCGAAGCTCCCTGGCACCGCAGTCGAGGAGCCAGACGACCCGAAGCCCGACCGACGCAAGGGGCGGCGCCCCTCCCCGGCCTCAGCGGGCCGGAGCAGCGCCCCCGAAGAAGCTGCTCGAGGCCTCCCGGCGCGCCAGCGACGCCCAGCCGGAGAGCTGCCGGCGCTCCGGGTCGAGCGGGGGGGGGCCGCCCTCGTCCCTTACCCCGAAGGCCCGCCCGGGCGACCGCAGTACGTGGCCTCGGCGAGGGGCGGCCTAGCTCACGCCGGCGCCTCCAGACGCCTCGCCGGCCACGCCCCTCCACCCCGACCCGCCTGGAGGCCGCCGCCGCTAGACGCGGAGCGGCGCCCGGCCGGCGGGCCACCGTTGTGCCGGGCG